CGGTGGCTGTGTAGGTGTCATGTGTGTCAGGGAGGGGATAGCGGAGAGGAAGCGGAAACAATTGAGACCGACAGGGAGACAGGAAGGCAGCTGACAGGACACCAGAGAAAACGAGAAGAGAGAGAGAGAGGGACTGGAGAGAGAGAGAGAGAGAGAGAGAGAGAGAAGGAGAGAGAGAGAGAGAATGATGAGACGAGGAGAGAGAAGAGAGAGACAGAGAGAGAGGGAGATGAGTAGAGAGATGAGAGAGAGAGCGAGAGAGAGAGGAGAGAGAGAAGAGAGATAGCAGAGAGAGAGATGAGAGAGAGAGAGAGAGACGAGAGAGAATCTGAGGATTTGAGAGAGCGAGAGAGAGAGAGAGAGCCGGAGCAGCGAACGAGAGCAGAGACGGTGAGAGCGAGAGAAGCGATGACGAAGCAGAGAGAGCGAGAGAGAGAGAAGAGAGAGAGAGAGGAAAGACCTGAACTGAGAAAGAGAGAGAGAGAGAGAGTGCGCTGCGCGCTGTGCGTCCGCTGAGAGAGAGAAACAAAACTAATGATTATTTATGCAATGGATGCAACGAGGATCATAACAAATGCCCCATGTTAACACAAACAATCAAGATCCAGGCGGCAAGCAGGCAGGCAGGCATGGCAGGCAGCAGGCAGGCAGGCAGCGCAGGCAGCGCAGGCAGCGCAGGCAGAGGAAGGCAGGCGCAGCCGCAGGGAGGACGCCCAGCTATGTTAGGCAGGAGGCAGGCGGCAGGCAGGACAGGACAGGTAAGCACGCAGTAGGCACGTGCCCATTGCATGATTCCTGCGGGTGGTGCCATCTAACGGACGCACAACGTCAACGGCACGGTTATTGGCTGCCGCGTTTCTATTACTAGTATTAGTACACGCCAGTGGAGCTCCATGGCCATATAATCACGCCGAACAATATTATCACCTGCGAGATCAGGCTCGCCTTGTGGCCTTGACTACGGTGATGCTTTTCCTATTAGGTGACGGATGCCTGACGTGATGATCGCTGGTCAGTTACCGTAGCTAACTCTGCCTCCTACCTGCTACTCCGATGCTGGCAAGGGTCTCCCTCATGCACCAGCTAACAGCTTGCAGGCCTTGCCCTCTCCTTACCCTCCCTACCCCTATGCCATCAACCTACAGCGTGTTGCAGGCCTTGCCTCTCCGATTTTCTCCCTACCCCTCATTGCCACCAGCTACAGGTTTGCAGGCCTTTGCCCCCTCTCCTTACGCCTCCTACCCCTCATGCACAGCTTCAGGTTTGCAGGCCTTGCCCTCTCCTACCCTCCCTTACCCTTCATGCCACCAGCCTACGGTTTGGCATGGCCTTGCCCTCTCCTACCCTCCCTACCCCTCATTGCATCAGCTACAGGTTTGCAGGCCTTGCCTCTTCCTACCCTCCCTACCCTCATGCCACCAGCTATCAGGTTTGCAGGCTTGCCCTCTCCTACCCTCCCTACCCGCTCATGGCCACCAGCCTACAGCTGTTTGCAGGCCCTTGCACTCTCCTAGCCCTCCCTACCCCTCAATGCCACACAGCTACAGCCCTTGGGCAGGGGGGGGGGGGGGCCCTTTTGCCCTCTCATCCCTCCCTACCCCTCATGCCATACCTAACAGGTTTGCAGGCCTTGCCGCTCTCCTACCCTCTCCTACCCCTCATGCCACGAGCTACAGGTTTGCAGGCCTGTCCCTCTCCTACCCTCCCTACCCTCATGCCACCAGCTACAGGTTTGCAGGTCCTTGCTTCTCTTACCCTCCGCTACCCTCATGCACACTACAGGTTTGCAGGCGCCCTCTCCTACCCGCCTCTACCCCCTCATGGCCACAGCTACAGGATCTTGCAGGCCTTGCCCTCTCCTACCTTCCCTACCCCTCATGCCACCAGCTGCATATATATCAGATGTATTTACTATTCTAAGGGTGATAGGGGTTTGACAGAGTTTCATTATAGCAGGTCTACACTTATTCTAATACTAAGTCTAATATCCTCGTCACTTACATCTATACAATATGGACGTAGGCGCATAGATTAAGAGACAACCAAACAGAATGATAAGGTGGTAAGCAAAGATTAGTGCTAACCAGAGTATAATTCTCTCACGTGCGATGACTATGCGTAAGTAAGAACTGCCACTAGATGGCGCACTGTTAGGTCCGTGAATATCCATGGCACTTCGCGTGGCCTGCCGGCAGATCATGAGGTGACGTTACGAGCGACGGTGTCGATGCATGTGACAGCGTGAGGTGACGCCGTCGCGTTCTTTGTCACGTTGACACAAAGCATCTCTCTATGCTTCAGGCTTCCGGGTCGATGCAGTCAGCTGCGGGGACCAGGGCTGCCAACTCTCACGCATTGACCGTGAGACTCACGCATTTTGACCAAATCTCACGCTCTCACGCTGATCTTACAATATCTCACGCACAGCAAAAAAATGCTGAGATATCTCACGCATGAATATCTCTTCATGAATGAAACGCTTAAATATCTCAAGCACAGCAAAAAAAATCTTACAATATCTGAAAACAAACAGTCACTTTAGTATGCACCAAATTGCACAAATTGGTGCATATTCCCACACCCACCCCCCGCTCGGTCGCTTCGCTCCCTGGCATCTCACTCTCACCTATCACCCAATGTTGGCAGCCCTGGGGGACACAACACTGTCGCACGCTGCGGCGTGTGCGGGGGCGCGCGGGTCACCGCGGGGTGGCATGCAGCGCTGGTTAGCTCTAGGTGTGCGAGTGTGGGCGGGCATTAACGCATCAAACCTGTTTGAACCAGAGCACTGAGCGGGCGATTATGTCTCGACGCACGAGAGCGTTGTTACTTCATTACGGGTTAAACTGGGTGTCGAAATTCGTGAGTCGTTTATTACTCAGGTTGTTGAAGTATTACTCGGGCGTTGAAATGAAAGTGGTTCTTGCTCGCAGGTTGTTGTTGTTTACTTCCTTATAGGTTGTTGTTATTTACTTGCTCGCAGGTTGTTGTTGTTGTTTACTTCCTCGTAGGTTGTTGTTATTTACTTGCTCGCTGGTTGTTGTTGTTGTTTACTTCCTCGTAAGTTGTTGTTATTTACTTGCTCACAGGTTGTTGTTGTTGTTTACTTGCAGGTGTCTAAGAGTAAATCCGAAGGGCTTGGATGAGGAGAGCAAAGATTACTTGTCACTATATCTGCTATTAGTGTCATGTAACAAAAGCGAAGTGCGAGCAAAATTCAAATTCTCAATCCTGAACAGTAAACGGGAGGAAACGAAAGCAATGGGTGAGTATGCGTGCGCTGCGAGAGAAGATGAAGAGAAAGCTGAAGAAATATGTGCAGCAGGCGAGCCAGAATGAGCGTGAGTGAGAGTGTTAGCGAGAAAACGCACAAAGGGGAGGGGGAGATAGCGAAAGCGAGCACAAGGGAGAGATAGCAACATCGAAAGGTTCTACTTCGATTCTCTTCATAAGCTCAAATGCTTTGCTCGTAGGTGGTTCATATTCCCTTAGTGCATGTAGATGGACGCCGCCGACAGCGTGCCATCGCTGCGCTGCTAACCGCCGCACGTAAGCGGCAGTCTACGTTCCTGGGAAAAACTCGATTTCTCTCGTCAAGGCCGCGGGCACTTAGCAGCTGATTAAAATGTGCGCGTCGTCACGCGCGCCATGATGACGACGCTAGCTAATGCAGGCAGACGACTCCACGCCTCCGCCGCCGCCGCCGCCGCTCTCCTAAGTAAGTAAGTAAGTAAACCTCGCGACGGACGACTTCTCCGGCCGATCGAACGCAAGTCCACCGCGTCGAATCTCGAAATTCGTACATGCCTCGGACGTCGACGACGATTAGACGGGTGCCGCCTTGAGATCCGATGCGGAATAGAGGCAGGGGGATGCGGGTGGCGGCAGTCTCGGGCGAGCGTTTCTTGTCGTCGCGGCAACGAATCGAGCGGGTTTCGTCGGTCGTTGGAGCGCAGGTGAAGCATGTAAGGACGCCGCGCCGCCGGCCGTGATGGGAGAGCGAAGCCATCGCCACGCGAGCCGCTTTCATCTGTCGCCGCCGCCGTCGTCGTCGTCGTCACGGAGGATTCGAAAAGAGATGCTCAATGGGTGGCTGCACGCGAACTCCACGCGACCTCCAACTAGCTGCTGATTTAATTAGAGAGTAGCAGTGCGTGTGTGTGCGTGCATGCGTGCGTGCGTGCGTATGCGCGCGCACGTGAGTGTGTGCGTGTGTGTGCGTGCGTGAATGTGTGCGCGTGCGTGCGTAGGTAGCCCCTCACGACACGGCGCCGGTGTGTGCGCGCACGTGAGTGTGTGCGTGTGTGTGCGTGCGTGTGCGCGTACGTGCGTGATGAAGACACGTTATAAGCCAATCTGCAAGGTTCAACGCCATCTACAGGGTTCAGGGTTCTGCTAAGACGGCCTTCTAGTTCTATAAGGTGCTGCCTGATGTCAGCTAATCCGACGTGTAAACATCGGGTGGAGTGATGCAGCTAATCTAACCATAATAGTTAATCCAGCGAGCTACGACTACGTGGTGTATGGCCCAGACCTTAAGCCCGGCGCACACGTGAGTAATTTTACTCAAGTAAAATGACGCATGAGTCAAAATACTCACGCGTAATATTTTCAGCGTTCGCGGCACACGTGAGTAAAATTACTCAAGGAATAAGTTGTAATGCAGATCACGTGACTGTGCGCAGCCAATACTGGGCGCACAATGATTTAAACGCATGCGCTGTGAGTACCAGTGTTGAGTAAATTTACTCAACGCGCGCGCACAGACGTTGAGTAAAATGTCGCATGAGTCAAAAATTATCAAACACGTTTGATATTGAGTAAAATGACGCATGCATCAAATTACTCAACGAAAATCCGCCGCACACGTGAGTAAAATGACTCATGCGTCATTTTACTTGAGTAAAATCACTCACGAGTGCGCCGGGCTTTAGTTGACATACGTGTGCCCTGCTGATAAGCTGAAAGACACGTATAACCATATATACATACACATATATACATATATATATATATATATATATATACATACACATATATACATATACAGTTAGGGCCTGTTTTATGATGGTCCATTTTACGACTTTCACATTAATGACCTTTTCAAAATTACCTAAAAAATTGAAGATAAAAAACTCACTCTGTGTAGCGATGCTCTTGTAAATTCGCTGCGTCATGCAAACCTTACGGTTAGGTTATTAATAATTCATGCATGCATTCAGTAATATGCCAGCGACAACTGAAGTATATGGAAAAAAAGGTGTTGAGTGTCAGGGCAAAATTGTGCAGGGTTTCACAGCTATAAGTTATTGACGCACTGACAATACCCATGGGTAGTATGTCGGTAACTTGTGTTCCTATTCTGCGCTCATACGAACTGCTCATGCGATGTTGGCAATGCCATACCGTCACATTGTCGTCCATATGGTGACGTAGTGTTAGGGTGCGTGCGTGCGTGCGTGCGTGCGTGCGTGCGTGCGTGCGTGCGTGCATGTAACTTGGTTCACACAGTGGTTCATGATGCCTGCGTCATTCGTGTAATTACAGAGAGTCAGAGAGCCTACAGATTCGTACAGGGCAAGGATTGGGGATTCAAGAAATTCATACGACGAGACTTCCTACTAGATGAAGCCAATGGCCTGCTTCCGGACGATCGCCTGACGTTATTCTGTGAGGTGAGTGTGCAGCGGCAGCCTCATGCTTACAGAAACGCAACAATTATTTTTGAGAAAAAAACTTTACCTATTTATCGTGCGTTTCGCGCACGGATTTGCGCGTCGCGCGTGTGTGCCTGGGGCATTGTGTTACGCTGCGTGACACGGGAACGATGTCGGTGAAAGGTGCGCGTTTCGTTACGTACGTCGGGTTTATTTATTAAGAGAGTGAGTAGATGAGCTTCGTCACACACGTAGTGCGCAGTGGCGTGTGTGTGGTTCGTGTGTAGTGGGTAGGGAGCCATGTGAGTGCCGGCTGCACACCGTTATTGACTTAATATCGTTAGCCTGTCGTGTTATGTTGAAGCGATAGCTTCATTACTGATGCTCAGTCGCCCCCGAAGATTGTTTGATGCGACCGTTTTCGTGCAAAAACAAGACTTGTGCATTCTGTCTCTATGCCGTATGCCCCGTGTGACTGCGTTCCTAGGGCTCGCCAGAAACAACATGAGTCTGAACATTAGCTTAATATAACTTAAAGTCTTAATATCAATGCTTTCTAGTAGACTGGACCGGGGTGTGAGAAACTCAAAACTTTACCATGTTTCATGGTAACCTTCTGTGGGGGAAGTTGATGTTAAGACTAATGTTAAGACTAATGTTAAGACTAATGTTAAGACTAAACGTGTTTCTGACAACGGATCCCTGATCTTTTCGATTTTGTAAACCTCGCTGTCTTCCTAATGCACGTCTCGTCTCGCTCTGCAGTCTGCTCTCACTGGATATTCGAGCTTGTCCTGTGCATTCAATCCTCCCCTAGCTCTTAGCCGAGGCAGCAGCATCAGTGCTGCAGCAGCTATGCTGGGCTTCATCTTCTCTCACTGCGGAAACACTTTCATCACGAATTCGCCTCGAGACATGACGACGTTGAAAAACTCTCTCATCTCAGTCGATCCGCGGCCTCCCCTCCCTCATTCACATCATAG